TTGTTGAGAGTGCTGCTATGAACATTGGGGTACATGTGCTCCTATGCATCAGCACTCCTGTATCCCTTGGGTAAATTCCTAGCAGTGCTATTGCTGGGTCATAGGGGAGTTCTACTGTTAGATTTTTGAGGAACCTCTACACTGTTTTCCAGAGGGGCTGCAGCAGTTTACGTTCCCACGAACAGTGTAGGAGGGTGCCCATTTCTCCACATCCTCGCCAGCATCTGGAGTCTCCTGATTTGTTCATTTTAGCCACTGACTGGCGTGATGTGGTATCTCAGTGTGGTTTTGATTTATATTTCCCTGATGAGGAGGGATGCTGAGCATCTTTTCATGTGTCTGTTGGCCATCTGGATGTCTTTTTTGGAAAAGTGTCTATTCATGTTTTCTGCTCATTTCTTCACTGGATTATTTGTTTTTCGGGTGTGGAGTTTGGTGAGTTCCTTATAGATTTTGGATACTAGCCCTTTATCTGATATGTCATTTGCAACTATCTTTTCCCATTCCATCGGTTGCCTATTAGTTTTATGGATTGTTTCCTTTGCCGTGCAGAAGCTTTTTATCTTGATGAGGTCCCAATAGTTCATTTTTGCTTTTGATTCCCTTGCCTTTGGAGATGTGTCAAGTAAGAAATTGCTGCAGTTGAGCAATTTCCTGCTTTCTGCTCTAGGGTTTTGATGGTTTCCTGTCTCACATTCAGTTCCTTCATCCATTTTGAGTTTATTTTTGTGTGTGGTGTGAGAAAATGATCTAGTTTCATTCTTCTGCGCGTTGCTGTCCAGTTCTCCCAGCACCATCTGTTAAAGAGGCTTTTTTCCATTGGATAAAAATGGAAAATCATGCTTTGTCAAAGATTAGTTGGCCATACATTTGTGGGTCCAATTCTGGGTTCTCTATTCTATTCCAATGGTCTATGTGTCTGTTTTTGTGCCAATACCATACTGTCTTGATGATGACAGCTTTGTAGTAGAGGCTAAACTCTGGGATGGTGATGCCTCCCGTTTTAGTTTTCTTCTTCAGTATTACTTTGGCTATTCGGGGTCTTTCGTGGTTCCATGAAAATTTTAGGATAGTTTATTCTAGCTTTGAGAAGAATGCTGGTGCAATTTTGATTGATACCACATTGAAAGTGTAGATTGCTTTGGGTAGTATTGGTATTTTAACAGTATTTATTCTTCCAATCCATGAGCATGGAATATTTTTCCATTTCTTTGTGTCTTCTTCAATTTCCCTCATAAGTTTTCTATAGTTTTCAGCATACAAATCTTTTACATCTTTGGTTAGGTTTATTCCTAAGTATTTTATGGTTCTTGGTAAGTTGTGAATGGGATCAGTCTCTATTTCTCTTTCTGTTGCTGAATTACTGGTGTATAAAAATGCAGCCAATTTCTGTACATTCATTTAGGATGGAAACCCTCTCTGCAGGCACATTCTAACTGTACTGGAATTAACAAATTAAACTTGTCAAAGAAGAGGAAAAGATTTTGGAGAATCTTGCTTTTCTTAATCCCACTGCCCACATGGCTCATAGAGCACACAAGAAAGGCTTTACGCCTCCCCCACTTTAGGTCTGAATTTGGAGAAATAAAACTGGAGATACTCCCATGGCCACCTCATTATGCCCTGCACTTTCGCAGGGGATGGTATTCAGGGTATTTGGGCCACCACGCCTCCAAGGACAGGGTCGATTGAGGCTGTTTGGAGGTCACGGGGACAGGAGACCTGAGCTCACGGCTGGTGTGTAAGGGCACCGCTCCTCCCGCTCTGGGTCACGCGCCCATCACTCGTGTTTCTCCTCTGGCGAACTCTCCGTGGGTTTGCCGTAGCCCTTTCCATGACCTCGGGGTGTGTAACTACGTCACAACTTGAGCCTGCGGCCTTTAAATATGAGCAGGCTAGTGTATGGCAATTACATCTCAGTAAAGCTTTTTAAAAAAATGCCATGTGTTGAGAGGTATTATTATTCCCATTTTACAGACGAGGAGATACAGTCATATGTGGCTTAGTGGATTGGCCCGAGGTTACAAGCTAGTAAGTGACAGTAAGTGACAGAGCTGGAAACCATAAGAGACGAGCTCTGGAGCCCATGGCCTCAGGCTTCACCCCTGAGCCTACGTGGGTCCTCGGTCAGGAGCTCTTTCGGGGTCAGATCCGTGTCTCGCTCATGTTTGCCTCTTGCCAAGCCCCGCCCCCTCTCCCAAGCACATCACACATTCCTTTATATTGTACCTACTTGGTGCTCATTAATTATTTTTCGGAATGATGAACAAAAGCATAAATGGACTTTCTGCGTGTAAACGTGTAAGATGTACAGTAAGAAAGTAGCTGTGCGAGAAAAGCATTTGCAGGAAGACTGCAAAGATCCAGGAAGCACTTTGGAGACCCCGGGGCCCCATGAAGAATCATCAGACACCGCTCCTGGGGTCCCATTCTCCCAAGGTGTCACCCGGTCTTGGAGGATGTAAGACCACCGTATGAGCTGCGTGGACACGTCGCTGGGTATGGCTCTAGGCCAGCCCTGGGGGGACACAGGTGTGATCCGCAGTTGCCATGGAAACCCATCAGGGGGCAGCAGGCTGTCACCTGGTTCTCCAAGTTAGGGCAAGGGGGGTCTAGTAGCATCCTCTTGAGAACAAGGCTTCTTGTTCCGGTTCGAGCTGGGAAGTGAACGTCCGTCTTGCAGAGCAACTTTGTCCCTTCTGTGCCTTCCTGCCTCTGGCGCCCGATGTTCGTGGGCTTTTCCCCAAACCAAAAATGCAGGTGCCTAATGTGTGTATCTTTGCAGACCCTGCCTTCCGTTTGAGGCTCCTCTCTGCTCTCTGAGGCTTGTCAAAGGCCCTGCCTCACCAAGAAGTGGTTGTAGCGCCCCCCCCTCCGCAGACCCCCCCGACAGAATTTCCTTCCCCAGCCGACAAGCTGTCTGTTTGTTCATTTGGGGAACTTCGCCCCTCTTCCCCCCATCAGACTTTTTCCTGAAGGTCAGGTTGTAGAGGTGAAAGCTGAGCTTTTCAAACTGGGCCTTGCCTGCCTCCAAGGGACACATGGACAGACCTGGGAAGGCTGTGCAGCCGTGGGAGACCTGGGGTCGGCCCCCTGTGCAGGCCCCCACGTCACATAAATATTCTTCTCTGTGTCAGCCACTTCAGACCTCTCTGAACATAAGCTTATGAATATCAAAAATAGATTACATGAACAGAAACCTGTGGGGCTCAGTCGTTTAAGCATCTGACTTTAGCTCAGGTCATGGTCTCACGGTTCATGAGTTCAAGCCCCACGTCAGACCCTGTGCTGACAGCTCAGAGCCTGAAGGCTGCTTCAGATGTTGTTTCTCTTTCTCTCTCTGACCCTCTCCCACTTGCGCTCTGTCTCTTTCTCTCAAAAATAAAATAAACATTAAAAATTTTTTAAACTAGGTTACACGGCAGAAAACCAAATTCTACAAAGTTTTTCAATATTTTTTTATTGTGGGAAAATATAGAAGGCATGAAATTTACCATCTTACCCACTTTGACGTGTGCAGGACAGTGGCCTTAAGGACAGTCACACTGCTGCGCAAAGGGTCCCTACCATCCGTCTTCCCAAACTGAACCTCTGTCCCCATGAAACATCAACTCCCCGGGCCTGCTGCCCCCAGCCACACACCATCTGCTTTCTGTGTCTGTGAACTTGACTGCCCTAGGAAGCATGCAGTCTGTTCTTTTGTAGCTGGCTTATTTCACTGAGCACGATGCCCTCTGTGGTTTAGCCTGTGTCTGATTTTCCTTCCCTTTTAGGGCTGTGTGATACACCACCCGTCGACGGGCACATGGGTTACTTTTACCTTTGGTTTAGCGAATGAAATTCCACACGCTTTTTTTTTTTAAGTAATTTTTTAAAGTCTCTTTATGTATTTTGAGAGAGAGAGCGTGTGCAAGTGGGGGAGGAGCAGAGAGAGAGTCCCACGCAGGCTCTGTGCTGTCTGCTCAGAGCCTGACGCGGGGCTCAAACTCACAAACCGTGAGATCACGACCTGAGCCGAAACTGAGTTGGATGATTAACCGACGGAGCCACCCAGGCGCCCCGAAATTCCACACACTTTTAAAGACTATAAAGGAAGGACTTCACTGATATGTGTTCAAGCAGGCTGCTCTTTGGCTTGTGGGCTCCCTGTGAGGGGAGGGGGTGCAGATTTACAGGGACCTGCCTTCGGGGACTCAGGGGGCGGCTGTGAGAGCCATCAGGCCCCCTTGTTCATGTGGCATCTTTTCTGGAGCAAATGTAAGAGGCAGTGGTTGCAGAGCAGACACACAGGCCTCAGAATGAGCCGCCTGGTTGTGGGACTGAGCCAAGTGGATGGATGCCCTTGTCTGGAGTTTACGGAGCCTCTGGGTGCCCGGCCCTGTCCTGGAGGGTCTCAGGTCGCAGCTGGGTCAATGGCGCGTTGAGGGCCAGCACAGGAGAAGGAAGAAGGGCAGAGACGAGGGCGACAAACACGTGCTCGGTGAGGACACTTCTAACAGGGTAGTTGGAACCAGGCACGGAAGGACAAATAGCAGACCTTCGGGAAAGCGAGGGTGCCGGGCATGTCAGTCCCGCGGGGAGCCCTGGCGGTAGGTGCCCTGGCACCCGGGAAGGGTGGAGGCCCAGGGGTGCGGGCAGGGGGTGCAGAAGAACAGATCAGACTTTACAGGCGTACCTCCAGCTGTGATCGGAGTGGGAAGGGGCTCGGAGCTGGTGGGAAGCTCAAACTTTCATCCTCTGGATGGGACTCTCTGGACCTTCCAGGGTGATGGGTGTGGAGCAAACGGCCAGACTCCGGAAGCCCCGGTGAGGTGAGTCTGCAGGAGCAGAGATGCCCGTGGTCCTAATTGCACGCTGCATTTCCAGTGTTGCTTCTTTGCAAGTACTGGACGCCTTCCGGAGCCCCGAGCCAGTGGCTGGACGGGGTGCCCTCTGGAAGCCCTCTCCCTGTGCCCGCCGCTCCCCACTTACCTGCGTGGCTTGTGGCCTTCTGTCCCCAGGTCCGCGGGGAGCTGCTCCGGGAGCGCATGCAGCAGCTGGAGGCCCAGGAGGCACGCTTCGCAGAGTCCCTGGTGTCCCTGCAGTTCCAGAAGGCCGCCAGGACAGCCCAGACCCTGTGGGTGTACACCGCCCTCCTGAGCATCCAGGACCTGCTGCTGGAGGAGCTGAGCGAGTCGGAGACCCTGACCAAGTTGGCCTGTGAGCAGATCCTGGGGTCGCACGGCCTGGTGAGCGCGGGGGCTCGGGAAGGAAGGGGGGTCAGCGGGGTGGGCTCCTCCCACCCACCAGTGGGTGGTTGCCTGCCCTGTCTACACTGCAGGGTCGCAGGGAGGATAAGCAAAAGAACTTACCACCCTGAGGCTGCGCAATTGCATTGCCCCTGAGAAGCAAACCTTTTGAATTGTGAGATTTTTTCACACCTCTCAAACCAGGATGTGTCTTTCATATCCATATCGACATCAACATTGGATATCACATCGATATCCAAATCTGATACAACTTTCTTCTGAGGGGGTAAAAGCAATCTCAGCATAAGACTGAGAATAAAAAAAGTAAGACACAAAAAGATGGGGTGGGGGGGCGCCTGGGTGGCTCAGTCAGTTAACGGTCCATCTTCGGCTCAGGTCATGACCTTGCAAGTTCTGAGTTCAAGCCCCACGTAAAAGCAGCTCAGAGCCTGGAGCCCGCTTTGGATTCTGTGTCCCCCTTTCTCTCTGCCCCTGATCGACTTGTTCTCTGTCTCTTTCTCTCTTAAAAATAAATAAACATTAAAAAATAAATAAAAAATAAAGCAGATATTGACAGGGTGCCTGGGTGGCTCAGTTGGTTAAGTGTCCAACTTCAGCTCAAGTCATGACCTTCCAAGTTCGCGAGTTGAACAGCAGGTTTGTCATTCACAGAGAAATATAACTGGAAAATAACAGTGTGGCTTTCAATTAACGACGCCTTAGAGGCAGTGAAATACTGCACTCTTGTTTACGTACATTTGTACGGTTATTCCTACAGGCTGCATGTTTTCAAGGTGCAAGAGGTGTGTTCATGAATGAAAGCTATGAGTGTAACTGTTTTGAGGACTAACCTTAGGCCCTTTAAGAGTACGTTTTAGAGTTCCATTTGTTATGATGATGCCTATAGAGAGGAAAAGGAATTCAGGCTTGTTGGGTGCTCAGTACATGTAAGCAAGCGCTAACTAGCTGTGAATGGGCATACTCTCATTTAAGCATTAATAATTCTTAAGCATGCATTAGAAAATGACCCATTAAGCACGATTGATTATAAGTTGCAGTATTATGCTGTGCTGCTTGACCTTTATGCTCTCTGTCACACATTGTATCAGTTAATTATTACACTGTTTTGTGAAGTAGGTACTGCTGTTAAGTCCAGTTCTCAGGCAGAGAATCTGAGATTATGGCAGGTCAAGTTCTTTGTAAAGTCCACATGGCTGATAAATAAATGCCAGGAGCAGAATTCAATCGGTTTCTGACTTAAACCCTCTAGGTCACGTTCATGGACTATCCCCTTGATCTTGCCAGTGGGGGTTCCCATTATTTCCAAAAAAAAGTTCTTTTACATTTATTTATTTTTGACAGACAGAGTGAGACAGAGCATGAGTGGGGGAGGGGCAGAGGGAGAAGGAGACAGACTCCAAAGCAGGTTCCAGGCTCTGAGCTGTCTGCACAGAGCCCTATGTGGGGCTCGAACCCACGAACTGTGACATCATGACCTGAGCCGAAGTTGGACACTTAACTGACTGAGCCACCCAGGCACCCCCCATTATATCTTTTTAAAAGTCATAAATAACATTATATTCTGAAGATCCCAGACCTTCTTTTCCCGTAAACATTATGCGTCCTGCATTATGACCATAATTACGACAATTATTTCTATTAGGGATAGAAAGATGTGGGAACGGCATCCCAGCACAAAACATCTGGATGCTAAATAAATACAAATGAACATACTTCTTAACGCTTTGTGAGTTCACAAGAGAATGTGGAAAATTTCCAAAGGCCAAGGATACCCTGGGGAAAGCAAATCCAGAGGCTGAAATCCAGGGACAAAGACTGAAAGCTACAACCCCTGGATTTGGGGTGCATTTGGGGGGATAGGGGATGAGGCTGGGGGTGTCCTGAGGGGGTAAGGCACCCAATGAGGGGGTGGGAAGAGCAAGTTACCTGCTGTCAAAGGAGTCACCAGGGAAACTTGTCCTTCCCACCCCACCCCCACCCCAGGCTCTGCTCCAGGGTACGGGGAGTGGGGGAGTTAGGGGGGAAGTTGGGGAGAGGAATCTCCCCATGAATTTGTAGTCAAAGGCTCCTGCTGCTGCGAGGAAAGAATCCAGAAGTACTGTAGCGCTCCAGTCAGGAAATCTCTAAGCTTAAACTGGCTGTAGGTTGAATGACTGCTCAGGTGCATGGCCAAAGCAAATCCTCTCCAGAGAAAAATACCATCAATCTGGGCAACTTGCGATTTTCACAGATCAATTTCAGCCAAAGAAGGCTGAAGTCGATTACATTTCAGACTCCCCAAACACGTAAGCGAGACAAGACGATGTATATATCAGAGAGACAAAACCCAACAGATTAACATCCCTACAGACGTGGGATGTTCGGAGTATCGTATAGACTATAAAATCGTGATTTATGAAATTCTATTAAAAATTAAAGGTAGTAACCAAAACGATTTTAAAATTTCATTCTCCTGGAGAGCAGAGCGAGTCTCACATTGCATGTATGTAATACAAGACCCAAGATAATGGAAAGAGAACATGATAGACCGGCAGGGAGAAGCTGACAAGTCTGTCATGATCATGGAGGATTTCTGCGCACCCCTCTGTCTGGGGTTGGTCGATGAGACACAGGGAGAGATGCTGATGAACGGAGTAACCCATTCGTCAACCTGTATGTAATACATACCTACAGAATCGTACAGCCAGCAATTAACAAACACCTCTTCTTCTTCGGCACACGTTGGAACAGTTAATAAACAATTAACAATCATATAATATCATTTTGACCACCTTTTTGAAAAAAGAGCCCATCTTGCCTCCTCCTGAGCAATTAAATTCAAATCCATTTAAGAAAAGATCATTACTCAAAGCCTATACTTTGGAAGTTTTAAAACTTACTACGAATAAGTCATTGGTCAAAGAAAATCATAATGGAAACTTCTAAAAGTGTAGAACAGAAAAATAATGTAAATAATGTAAATGCAACATATTAAAATTTGTGGGATTTTGGCTCAAGTAGTTTTTTAGCTCTGAGGGAAATGAATGCTCTAAGCTTATATTAGAGAAAAAAGGCTCACAATTACAATCATGTGAAAAGCTAGAGGATAACAATGACAAATTAATCTGTAGAAAGAAGGAAATAAATAAATAAATAAAATTAAAACCTCATAAATAAAATTTTAAAAACTGCCAAAATCCAATCAAACAAAGCTGTGATGGAAAAGGTTAATAAAGTGAAGAGATGAATTTTCTGGGGAAAAAAGTCTAATAAAATATACAAAGCTCTGACACAGTGACCATTTAACAAAGATAAGGGACAAATAAATAATAATGTTTTTATTTATTTATTTTAATGTTTATTCATTTTTGGGAGAGAGAGACAGAGAATAAGTGGGGAGGGACAGAGAGGAAGACATAGAATCGGAAGCAGGCTCCAGGCTTTGGGATGTCAGCACAGAACCCAACCTGAGGCTCGAATTCATGAACTGTGAGATTATGACCTGAGCCACAGTTGGATGCTCAATCAATTGAGCTGCCCAGGCACCCCAGTTTTTATTTATTTTTGAGAGAGAGAGACAAAGTACGAGTAGGGGAGGGGCAGAGAGAGAGGGAGACACAGAATCTGAAGCAGGCTCCAGGCTCTGAGCTGTCAGTACACAGCCCAACACAAGACTCGAACTCGTGAACCACGAGATCATGACCTGAGCTGAAGTCAGACACTTAACCGACTGAGCCACCCAGGCACCCCAAGACAAGTAAATAATAAAAAAGTAACATGCCTATAGATGAAGTAGAGTTTTAAAAAACAAATCTCTATCAACAGTTTCATGTAGACGGACTTTCATATAGACGGACTTGCAAACTGAAATGAAATGGAAAAATTTCTAGAAAAGCATAAATCGTCAAAATGGACTTAAGTAGAAGTCTGTATATAACCATATTGCCATGAAAGAAATTGATTCCGTAAATAAGAAGTCTGAGACATGCAAAAATGCACCTACCCTGATAGTTTTATAGGTGAGCCCAATGAAATTTTCCATCTCATATACACATTATTCCTGATGTTAGAAAAATAGGGACTATCCCCCATTTTGTGACGCTCAGACAGCCTTTATACCGAAACCAGACATGAGTAGTATGAGAAAGAACAAGTAACACTTCACCCTACTTGCGAGCTTAGATGTCCAATTTGTAAACAAAAATTATTAACATAGGGGCGCCTGGGTGGCTTCGTCGGTTAAGCGTCCGACTTTCGCTTAGGTCATGATCTCACGGTTCGTGGGTTCGAGCCCCGCGTCGGGCTCTGTGCTGACTGCCAGCTCAGAGCCTGGGGCCTGTTTCAGTCTGTGACTCCCTCTCTCTCTGACCCTCCCCTGCTCACGCTGTCTCTCTCTCTCTCTCCTAGAAATAAATAAAACATTTAAAAAAAATTATTAACATAGCTCAGCCGTCCATGAAATAATTAGTACAGCATGGCAGGTTGAATTATTTTCCCCCAGGAATAGAAGGTTGGTTTAACCTTAAAATATCCATTTACAAAGTTTGCCAGATTAGCTGATTAAAGGGGAAAAGAAAAAACTAGTATGATCGTTTTGGTATAACGGAACAAGTCTCTTATTGAATTCAACATGCAGCCAAAACCGCAAAAGTTCTCAGCAAATTAGTGACCGGAGGGAATCTGTACAGGATATTTACCCCAAATCCACAGCAAGTATGATGAGAGGTGATGGGGACCGGGGCGGGCATGGCCTCGAATTATAGGTGAAGGATGTGAATGAAGCTTTCAGAGGAGAGCCAGGTCGAGGTCGTCTGTCGACTAGGCATAGAGTAGATAGATATTTAGAGCATCTGGTGTTCAGTTCACATCGTATCTGCTCCTTCTGAGTGCCCAAGACAGCCCCCCCAGCTGAGCCTGGAGATACTCGGTGGCTCTTTTTACTTGAGACCACCCTGATTCCGGTAGTAATCGGGTAGGGTATGATGCTTACACTCTGTTTA